TCGCATGTGCATCTCTCCACAAAATGAAAGTTTGTCTAAAACAAAACATGTTTTATGCTAATGTATATGGTTCTTTGTTTGCGTTTTCTTTGTTTAGTGTTTTTTAACAGTCTGAGGTCCACCGCCAAGGTGTCCGAACCAGAGGATGGAAGCGTGGTTGGCGTTGCTGACGCGGTTTGGAAGTGGAAACGCCGAGCGGCAGCGATTCACAACGCCAGATACGATGTCCGGGCAGATTCAGGGAGTCCAGAACTCACTGTTCGCTTTCGCAAAACCAGCAGAGCTATTAGTAGCTATTAGATATTAGGTTGGAGGCCACGGCTAGCAAGAAGCTAGTAGGTTGGAGGCCATCGCTCTCAGGTTGGAGGCCATTGCTATGCATACCTTGTAGTTATTTTGGAAAATGCTTCACAAAGAGAGTTGTATCTTAAAAGAAAAAGATAATTTTGGAGAAATCACAAGATGGTGAGAGTGCTGGGAGTGCAGGTTGCCCGACATCTTCAATTGACTTCAGAGCAGAAGTGATTGCAGCGATGTTTACGGGCAGAGTCTAGATGCAAGCCCCTAGTAGCTTCTTGTTCCTAGTAGTAAAGCCAGGAGCTACTAGTAGCGTCCTTGCTCCTAATAGCGATGCCAGGAGCCCCCAGTAGCTTCTTGTTCCTGTGCATGCAGCGCATTTCAAGAGAGAACGTGTTTCATCGAGAAGAAAGCTTTTGCCAGGATTGCTGTGGTTGCATATTTGCGATTGCCTCAAAACATGTTTTGCAATGCTTTTCCTTTTGTGTCTTCGATTGCTTCCCAGCTGAGTTTTGTGGCAGTGTGGGTGGAATTCTGGCTCCACGCTTTGTGCGCCGAATGCGCCGAATTCACTGTGCGACTTTGTGCTGCAAAGCTTCTTTCGCAGGTACCAATTTGTCATCGCATACGCCATGGCAAGCTGGCTGAAGTTTTTCTACACCTTTATTTTTTAATAGTGTCCTTTTCTTAATGTAGAAAACACCCTGTTCTTTGTTTATCCGATTTCGTGACGGTCCAAAGTACAGGCTGAATATCATTTGTCGCCTGAAGATCATGAAGGCTATAGAGTCAGGGACTGAGAAAAACGCAGTCCCCATTCTATGTGCCGGCCCTGCCATCAAGTAAGCAACTTAATTCAGGGAGAATGCTCCTAGCTGGATGCAGGATAGCTCACGCAAATGATTTGGTTCCTAGATGTTTAGGGAAACTTAACGCGAAGTCGATAGTGAACATCCAAGGAAGTGGGAGGTGGCTGTTGTGCCTTGACGGATGGACTCCAGGCCAGTTGTGCTCGTTCGTCAGCGCGTGGACTTGAACGCGAAGCAACCTGCCATGGCCTCCAACCTAAGAGTGATGGCCACCTACTAGCTTCTTGCTAGCAACGACCTCCAACCTAAGAGTACACTTGAACAGTCTCAGTTCTCTTGTGAAATCTTCCCATTTGAACCCACAAAGTTTGGAATGAAGACACGTGAAGAGAACATGTGAAGACATCGTAGAATGGAAAACATGTGACATGTGAAGAGAGGTGGGGATTCTGATGCATGCGGGCTCCTTGGCCATGGGCTCTGCTTTAGTCACCGTCTTTTTTGTCGGGGTGCCAAGACAACGAGAGACCAGACCCATGAGACGGCTGCGCTTGGGGGGGGGGTAGGCCGCTAGTAGAGTTGAGGTAGGTTAGCTAGGCTAGTAGAAGCTAGGTAGCTAGTAGCTTACTTAAGCTAGTATGGACGCAGGATGAAGAAGCGCTCGCACTAATCATTTGGTTCCTAGTTTTTTAGGGATATTAACTAACAGCGATGGCCTCCAACCTAAGAACGATGGCCTCCAACCTACTAGAATTGTGTGCACTAGTGCTTTCATTGCTTTCATTGTAGGGCTTATCCCTGTTATTTTTCCCTGTGACCTCTGCTACAGGGCAGCCTGTGCCTGACGAGTCCAATGACAAACACTACAACAAAGACCAGACCCAGGTGTCTAAACATAAAACTTGACACACAATGTCAAACACGACAACACGCAAGAACAATAGCACACATACTGAACACACGATGGCCCAAAAACGACGAGAAGCAGCAAACAGTTACCAACATAGTGAATACACCAACCATTAAGTGACAAACACGACGGCAGACAACCAGCAAGCACACACACACACACACACTTGGGAAATGATGCGCACGGTCGGGATGCACAATGCCACGAAGAAACCTAGGTTAAACAAGATGCAGTAAACGCAGTGAGAATTGCAGCTTGATGATCACCAAGCCTGTCAGTTGCCATTCACAAAGTGTTTCACGGGTGCAAAGGTTTTGTTGAACTGTGCACATTGGTGCGACGATTTCGACATACTAGTGGACGGTGTTTACAACACTCACAACCGACGGGACATCCCGCGATACCGCCCAGCTTCGTTGGTCAAGGTTGGTGATATGATATCACGCCTTGACCCACTGCTTTTGAATAGAGAAGCCAACGGGCTACCCTTGAGTGCAGGGTGTGCACACACACACATTTGCCAACACAACAAACATTTGATAACACACAGCGGGCAAGTACCACAACAGACAGCAAACAATAACACAAAACAGGACATTGGACAACACGTACATTGTGACAAACATGAGAACTGACAACAAATGGCTGTGGGTCAAAGGCGGGAGAAATAGGGGCCCGGGCTTTGACCCACAGCCAACTATCAACACACTTGAGGACACTTCCCGACAAGATTGGGGCAGCTAGATTTCACCCTATTGTGACCTCCGCTGCAGGGCATCACCCAGTGCCCTAGCCCAATGACCACGACAGCAAATCAAAGTACAAGGTGTCCCACCATCTGCGGCCAAGGGATCCCACCACTGTCCGGACAGACAACCAATGACAAATGTCACATGTAGCCACCGTAGAAAACTTGAAGGTGCTGTGCCCACAGCGTACAAATCTTTCCTAGATGTTTAGCAGACCTAAATGCATGTTTCATTACGTTTCTTCTGTCTTCAGGTTCTTCAAGTCCTGGTGAATGTCTTCGAAGCTGCCAACAAGGACCACAACGACAAAACAACCTGAAAAGACTTGAAACAACATGGATGTGTTTTGTTTGGATTGTTTTAATGTGCTGGACTTTCTTTTTTTTCTTTCAGTGCATATTAGGCTATTAGGGAAAGTGGTGGAAGCAAAAAGTGGTAAGTAGAAGCTCAGCTAGCTGACTAGTAGTAGTCTAGGAACTCAGAATCCAGAATCCTTTGTAATGTCTGCCTTTTTGAGATGCCATCGACATGTTTGTGCATTTGCAGGAGGAAACCAGCAATCCATGTGCCAAATGTTTGCTAAACGTCCGGACTTCGGTGTGAAGTTGCACGTTCGATGCATCGGCTTTTGCAGCGTTCGACGCATCGTGTCAACTTTCCTCTTTGCCTCTCACCGAGTGCGTGAAGTGCTGCCTCGCTTGCTTCGAGAAGATTGTGGAGTTCTTGAACAAAAACGTGCCAGAGCTTGGGGGAGGATGGGGAAGACGTTTAGGAAGTGTGAACAAAGGAAGTGAGACCTTAAGATTATAGGGAGAGATCAAGATCTTTAGTACACAGTGCTGCGCAGGTGTACAGCACTGTGAGCCTTGCTGAGGCCTACGTTGATATTGCGATGACATCGAACAACTACTGCACAGCTGTCAGGTGTGAACGGATAGAGTGACAGATATTTCGATGTTCACAGTGACAAAGCACGCCACTTGTCACAAGTGACGCAACTCACAATTCTTGCTTGTTGCGCACAAGGAGTAAGAACGTGGCGACTCCCCGGTGATGTGTTTTCTTAAGCTACTAGGAACAAGTGCCACGCTACTAGTAACAAGTGCCTTACTAGTAGTAACAAGTGCATCGCTATTAGTAACAAGTGCCACGCTACTAGTAACAAGTGCCTTACTAGTAGTAACAAGTGCATCGCTATTAGTAACAAGTGCCACGCTAGT